TCCCAAAACCCCCACTCTGCCCGGACACTGCCTTTAAGAAAGTGGAAGATATGATATATACACTCTTAGGTATATAGATGAGGGCAAACGCCGAATTCGTAATCAAAACTATTACGATTGATTTGTGCAAACAAATGAAAAATGATCGATATCAAGATACATTTGGTGAAGCGAATGATCTATCGACCATGACTGATCTAATCAAAGTGGATTGGGACTGATTTTTGAGCAACGTTTTGTTTTTGATCCCTGCATTAGACGGTTATTTGACAGCGTAAGGGTTCAGCTCACTGAAGAAAAAAACCACTCCTAACTTACTCTGGGTGATGTCTTCAAATCTTTTTGGTATAAGCAAGTACTCAGAAAGAATCTCACCTGCACGATGCTCTCACTATTCGCGTCGAGAGCCGAAGTGGCCTCATCAAGAAGCAGAATTCGTGGATTTCTTGCTAACGTACGCGCTATTGCAATGCGTTGTTTCTGACCACCTGATAACTGTACGGCACCGTCACCGATCATAGTAGAGTAGCCCTAAAAAATTTCAGATTTTATCGCTTTTTTCCATGAGTATCAAATCTCACGTTAGGTAGTTTCATGATGAAATCATGTGCATTAGCTAACTTGCACACTTGAATCATCTCGTTTCTCTGAATTCCTGGACTTCCCACTCGTAGATTTTCCTAAAGAGTCTAATCTGTTTTACCTTTGTAGAAAAACAAATTCTACAGATTTTACCTCTATAGTTCCATTGAACAGCATAGGCTCTTGCTGGACGATGCCAACCGTATTTCTAAGCCATTCTAAATTTACCGTGCGCACATCATTTCCATCGATTTTCACCTAAATTCCATTTTCATGTGTTGAAAAAGTTGCTTTAAGCAAAAATTACCGTTCCAGCTTCTGCCTCGTAAAGTCTGGTGATAAGGCCAACGGAAGTGGATTTTCCACAACCACTGTGTCCGACCAATGCAACCGTTTCACCTGGTTTTATTGTGAGAGTGAGACCATTTAACACCTAAAGAAATGTTCATCCAGAGTGATTTAGCTTCAGTTGGATTTTCCTTTTTACGTTTCTTGTGATGTAGTAAATGCCCTGTACCTATAGTAAATTCAATCGCTATGCATAGCTTAACGGCGTGTTACTGTCA